CCCAGGGACTCCTTTGACAAGTTCTCTATGCGCCACGACATCGACCTCATACTGGAGGAGCTCTGGAGGGACGCCGCCTGCAGGGACGCCATACGCGCCGTCGCGGCGCGCAGCGAGGGCGTCCTGAGCGAGTTCCTGTCAGCGGTGCTCAACGACCTGATGTACCTCTTCAAGGTGCGCGGCGGTTGGCGGCGGTTGGCGTGGCGGTTGGCGCGGCGCTTTGCAGCGGTTGGCGCGACGGGTGTAGGCGGTCGGTGGCGGAAAAGAGGGAGGTTGAAGGCGCTCCTGGCCGCAGCCCAAGGCCGCGTCAAACTCGACCGAACCCAGCCAACACCTACAAATGCCCAGCCGTCACTGCCCAAACGGCACTGCCGGCACCGCCTGACACACCCCGTTTCACCCATCATCATTTAACTGCGCTTCCCCCCTGCAGGACTCGCTGGAGCGCCTGGCTGACATCAAGACGATGGAGGACAGCGCGGCGGACAAGAAGGTGGGGCGCTGATTGCAACTTGGGCTTCCGGGGGGGGGGGGTGTGATGGCTCCAAGTGTGGGCGAGAGGCGCGGACTGATGAGGGGTGCCCACGGCCTGCGGGGCCGTGTCCCAGCCCAAGCAGGGTTCAGGGTCAGAAGGTCAGCGAGGGGGGTCCAGCAGGCAAAAGTGCCTCCACCGGCTCCTGTCGCTGGAGCTTCGGGGCCACGCTTGCGCATCGCGCTTGCAGCGCGACGATTGGCCGTCAAACGAGCTATCTTGAAGATCTTGCTCATCCTGCCTGCTCTGGCCGGCGGCGCGCACACCCGCCGCAGTCGTGGGAGGCCCTGAGCTCTGCCGAGCGCGAGGACAAGAGCCACTTTTTGGAAAACCAGGCAAGAGGCGCCTGGACAGTCGCCTGCCGGCACGGGCGCTGTTGAGGGGATGTCAGAGGGGCTGGTTCAGCCAGGGGGGAGAGTTGTTCCGTGCAGTGGGTCGCTGGCGGGATGAGGCGTGCCGTCTCAACTGCGGCGGGCCCCTCCTTGTTGCCAATCTCCCACCCATGCGTTGCCACCCGAACCCCCGCAGAAACGCATGGCCAAGTCGTACATGGGCCTGTCCATAACGACCCTCCGCATGCTGGACCAGTTTGCGGGGGATGCCGCCACCGCGGCGCCCTTCATGAAGCAGCCCCTGCTGGTGGGGCGCCGCGCGTGCGCGACGCGGCCCAACACGAGCACCGTCACACGCACGCGCACAGTCCAGCAGTCACATGCAGCCTTGCGCGCGCGGGTGTGCAAACATTTGCATGGGATGGACGCGACGACCAGGTACCATGCTCAGCGACATGGCGGCCGTACTCAGGCCGCAGGCGACAGACAGCTATATGTGTTTGTCTTGGATGTAATGCACATGAACAAACACACACACACACACATACTAACACACACACACACACACTCTCTCTCTCTCTCTCCCTCTCTATATATCTATGTCACTCTCTTCCACACACACACACACACACATACAACACACACACACCCCTTCCTCCAGGGCCTGTCGGCCTATGCGGCCCTCCACTTCATCGAGCTGCTGGTCGGCCCCCGCTGCGCCACCCTGGCGGTCAGGGACCCCTCCCGCTTCCTGTTTGACCGGTCAAAGCTGATGTCATCGATGGCCAAGCTGGTGGCGCAGCTGGGGGCGCGGCAGGAGTTTGTGGCCGCGGTGAGGCTGGTTCGGCAGGGCCGACCGGCTTGAGCGTGCGGTTTTGCTTCGCCTTCATTTGCCGTCACAGGCGGGCGCGCTGCTTCCACGGACTAGCACAGCAAGCCGGCCAGCCATTAGTAGTGGAGGATGGGGTGAGCCACCCCTGTACAGGAATGGAGGGGCGCCAGCGCGGCCTCTGACTGCAACACGCACATCGCGCGGCTCGGCCTTGCCCACCCTCGATCATCCTCCTTGAACCTGGCCCGTGATTGCTGCTTTCTTCCCTGGTCTGTTGCGCTCGCGGTCATGTAGATGGTGCGGGAGCCAGACTTTGAGGCGGTCACCCTGGAGGCCGGTATTAAGGTGGGCGGGGGCGGCTTTTTTGGAGGGGGGAGCGGGCGATGGAGGGGGGGTGGGGCGGAGCGGGGCCATCAAAACGGGGCGCTGCGAGCCCGCGCTCCCATTGACGAACATCGTCTCCATGACTTGGAGTGCGTTTGACAACGGCTGTGTCGCATCTCTTGGTTAGATGACTGCTGACCGACAGATGACTGCTAAGCGACCGACGCCTGACAACCGTCGGCGTGCCGCAGCTGCTCAACGAGAACCATCAGTACGCGCTGGGTGACGCCCTCGCTGCCGTCCTCAAGCGCACCGCCGACGCCGCGGCCGCCGCCTCCCCCGGCGCCGGCAAGCGCCGCCGCGGCGGCGCCGAGGCGGATACAGACGCGGACAAGGGAGTCGGCGGCGAGGCGATGGCGGTGGACGGGGGCCAGGCGGCGGCCGCGCCGCCGCCGGCGGGCGCGGTGGGCGCGGTGGCGGCGGCAGCGGGCGGCGGGGAGGCGGCGATCGATGCGCTGGTCGCGTCCTGGGCGCTGCCCGGGGCGGCAACGTATGAGGAGGCGGAGGGGCCCTACAAGGAGGCGCTCTCGGACGAGAGCGTGGGCACGTTTGACGCGGGGGCGGCGGGCGCTTACAACAGCCACTTCTCGGCCATCGCGGCGCAGGCTGAGGGTGCGTGTGTGCCTGTGTTTGTGTGTGTGTGTGTGTATATGTGTGTGTGTGTATATGTGTGTGTGGGTGCTTCCTGCTGGGGCCGCTGCCGCGGAGGCGCCTGCAGCGCGCGTCGCGCTCTGAGATTGATTTGGATCGTTTTCCATTTTTCAAAGTACAGCCTTTGTATCTGTACATCATTTGCCCGCAGCGCGGCACTCTTCTGGCGAGGGTGTGAAAAACCCCACCGCACCGCTCGTGCCTGTCGCCGAGCCGTCACAAGAGTGCCTCGTGCCGATCCCACCATCCGCCCGCCCCCCCCCCCTTGGCAACCAGGCGACACCGCCCAGAAGATGCGGCGGCTGGGGCAGGAATTCAGGAAGCTGCGGGGCGCCACCGCGCTGCCCCTCAACGCGGCGGCCGCCATCTTTGTGCGCCAGGACGAGGACCGGCCCGACAAGGCGCGCGCGGCCGCCGCGCGCCTGTCCTTGGCCATCTTGCCCTGGCGACCCCTGCCGCACAGCTCCGCGGTTGCACTCGGACCAACACGCTGACAAGAATGTCGTTCATTTTATCCAGTTGCATCAGCATTGCTTTCTGGAATTCTCATTTGATTTCCTGGGTCCTTCTGCGTACTCGAGGGCAGCTGCATGGTGTGGCCAATGCTGTGGCCGCAACACTGCAGGGGGCGGGGGTTGTCTGCGCATTCCGCTCCGGTGCTCGCGCCGCCGCCGCCACACACAACGCAGACAACGCATGTCTCCGCCCGTCCGCCCGCCCAGGTGCGCGCGATCATCAGCGGTCCTGCGGACACCCCATACGAGGGGGGGCTGTTCATATTCGACGTCTACTTCCCCGCGGGGTACCCCCAGGTCGGTGTTTAGCAATGGGTTGCCCGGACTTCATGGCGGGTGCATGCTGGGTTAATGCCGGTGTTCTTTTCCCTCCCACAACAGCTCCACGATCAACATTATTGTGCTGAAGTCGTGCCATCATGCATTAGGGTTTGTCGGCTGAGACGGGCCGACCGCATGCTGTGGGCACGCTGGCCACGCCTCCACACAACCGCCCTCCCTGCTGCCGCCATCGCCGTTTTCCCCGCACCACGC